CTCCTCGCGGAGGGAGGGGCGGGTTTTCCTGGCGGAGGAGGAGGAGGAGGAGGAGGAGAGGAGGAGGAGGAGGAAAACTCCTTGCCGCTTCCTCCTCCTCCCCTCCTCCTCCTCCTCCTCCTCCTTCCTCCTCCTCCTCCCCTCCTCCTCCTCCTGCTCCTCCTCCTCCTCCTCTTCCTCCTCCTCCTCCTTCCCCTCCTCGCGGAGGGAGGGGCGGGAGGAGGCAAGGAGTTTTTGATCGGCGGGTTTGGGCGTGGCTTGATGGGGGGGTCACAAATGGGGGGGTCAGAAAAGGTCCCCTTTCGTGCCCCTTTCGGGCCCCTCCAGAGCCCCAGGGGGCTCGTTTAGGTACCGTTTGGGTACCTTTTCGGACCACCCGCGACACCCCCCCATTTATGACCCCCCATTACGCGGCGCCCAACGGGTCGGGAGCGGGCCCCTTCCGGTCAAGAGCTAAACGGGACGCGGGTAGCCCTAATTAGGGAGACAAGGCGCGGGCGGGCGGGGCCCCAGGTGGCCGGAGAGGAGGCAAGGAGTCCACAACCACAACGTCTCGAAGAAGGCACCGTTCCTCTGGGTCGTCGCTTTCAGCCTCCTCGGCCCGTTCGTCGAGCTCCAAGGGCGTCAGAAAACTATGCGGGACGACGAGCTGGACCCGGGGAAGGCTGGAAGAACCCGACAAAAACGAGGTATTGGAGGTGTACGAGGAGATGCAGGAGGGATCAGTTTGAGGAAAGAGCCAGAACAGATGAGCCGACGAGGAGAAGGCAGCGGCAGAGACAAGGCAGGGCGGGCACGAGGCAGTAGTGGAGGGGAGGGAGGAAGGCAGGACGAGGAGGGAGAAGGAGGGAGGAGGAGGAGGCAGGTGGAAGAGGAGGCATGATAAAGCAAAAGGAATAATCTTTCTCCAAAACCCTCTCTCCGTCCCCCTCTCTCCGTCTCCCCCTGCCTCTCTCTCTATGTTTTTTTTGTCTCTCTCTCTCTCTCTCTGTCTCTCCCTCTTGTTTGTTTGCCTTCGCTCTCCCTCTGTCACATCTGTTCTGGCTGATCTCTCTCTCTCTCTCTCTGTCTCGACGGTCCGCCGACCGTCCGACGCCCTGCTCGATGCCGACCCGACCGACGACCGCAAGCTGGCCGTCCGCACACCGCCCGACCCACCGCGACGTCCGTCCGCCGACGGTCGACGACCGTCCGCCGGCCTTCCGCCCCCGACCGCCGACGCCCGACCGCCGACTCTCCGACGCCGACACCCGACGGCGACGTCCGAGGACCGTCCGCTGCCGACCGACGCCACGGTGCAGTCACGACCCCCTGCCCGACCGCGGCCCCGTCCGCCACCGACCGCCACTGACCGACGACCGACCGTCCGCCACCCTGAGGCGCCAACCGCCACGGTGCCGCCCCACCGGACCCGGGCAGCAGGCACGTGGCGGCCGCCTCGGTCCGTCCCCGCCCCTCTGGCCGCGCGCGGGAGTTGCTTCGAAACCTCCGGCCCCTCTCCAAGCGAGCACGCGAGCTGACCGATAGCTTGCCCGCGGACTCGTGGAGTGCCATGGGCCCCCGATGAGCGGCAACACCGCGGCCCCCAGACGTGGACCTCGCCCACATCGGCGCGGTGGCTCTCCAGCTAACTACCTGGGCTCCGCTGCGAGCGTCACCCCCGCGGTTCGTGCTGCGCCGCGCCGCGGCAGCCACCAGGCCCGCAGATAGCGTGCAGCGTGTGCCGCACAACGAGGAGAACACCAACGATCCTCGCCCCGCAACATGCTCGGCCGCCGTCAGAGCCGCGTCGAGGCCCACCAGGGCCTACGCACCGCCCAACAGGCCCGACGCACCGCCCGCCGACACTGGCCTCGACCCCTCTCCCTACCTCCGCCTACCCATGAAGGTGCCACGGTGAGGGTCACAAACCAAGTGTGCAACCCCATCAACGGCAACCACGGCGCTGCCATCGGCCGCACGGGGGAATCTACACCAATGCTGGGTGGTCCTGCTGACCCACGGTAACGCTGCCCACCTGTGCTCCCGCAGCAGCACCCGCGCACGTCGCCCCTCCCCGCACACGCGGCGGAAGCTCGTCACCACCCGAGCTGCGCGCCTAGCGCTGCGACCAGGGCTGCGGCGCCACCGCCGCCACTAGTCTCCCGCGCCCTGCCGCGACCTGACACGTCAGGCGGCGCCCTGCCCCGCCCTGCAGCGCCCCGACCCGACCGACAACGACCAGCCGCGCCCGTCGGCCCTGACACAGGCTGACGCATCGTGGATGCGAACGTTGGCTTCAGTGACGATGTAGGCGTTGGCGTGTAGGCTCTATCGAAAGCGCCGCCGTAGGCGCAAGCGTAGGAGCCCGTATAGTCATGGATGCCAGCGTCGTCGGGACTACTACCGGTGATCTACCCGCTCCTGCTACGCCCCTGCGGGTGCCGATCCCGCCGAGGCCACCAGGTGCGGTGACAATGGGGCGAAGTTGACGTCCGGCGGCTACGACGATCCACCGCCGACCGTCAGACCACCTTCCGACGACCGACGATGACCGTCCGCCGCCCGTCTGACGACCGGCCGCCGACTGTCAGACGACAGCGCGCCGGCACCCGCCGCCGACGTCTACCGGCCGCGCGTCGACCGACCGACGCGCGAGCCTGACGACGAGGCAGCTGCTGACTACCTACCAGACCACCCCAACCCAACCCGAAGACCCAAATTTCGGGTTGGGGGGGGTATGGGTTCCATACGTGTTTTCTCGATGTTCCCCGACCCCCCCCCCCACTGGAAATGGAGGGCAAATGGAGGCCTTCGGGTTGGGTTGGGGTGGTTTGGTAGGTAGTGAGCTGCGGGCCGACGCCCCCCCGCCGTGGCTCCTCGCGACCCCCCCTCCGAGCGGCCACCGAACGCTACTCGGAGAGCGGGAGAGCGGGAGGCCGGCGTGCGCTTCGCTGTGCATGCCGATGTCGTCTGCCCAGCGCTGCAGCGGACGATCTGGCGCCCTGCGCCCGGCCGGCGTCCAATCCGGCGCTGCCTTCGACCGCCTGCCAGCAGTGCGGCGGGCGGTCGTCTGCAGCGGGGCAGCCGCGCGGAGTTTCTGCAAGTGGGCCAGGGTCTGACAGCCCGCCAGCGGAACTCACCACTGCTCTCTGGTTGTGCGGCCGATCCGTTCCGCGTGCGGCTCGTCCACGCCAACCTCAGGGGCAGCCCTCGTTGGCGGTGCCTACATGCATGGCCACCAGGCCCACCCGACAGCCACATCCATGCTGTCACACACACGCCCTCCTCCTCGCTCCGTGCCGCGAGGGGGGTTGTCGTTCTTCTCCTCCCGTGCGGCCCATTTTGGATCCTCCCTCGCGGGCTCGCCTGGCTCGCCACCGCGACCCGAGATCCGACTGCCCTCCTTCGCGCGCTGATCCACCTCGCAACGTGATGCCGCAACGGCATCGACGAGGCCCGCGACCCGCGGCGGGCCTGGCTCCCGCCCTCCCGTCGCCCCTCGGCGCGGCCCGCCTCCGGGATCGGCCGCGTGGCTCTCGCGAGCCCAGCGGCTGCCGTCCGGGACGCGGCATTGATCCGATAGCGAGGCCGCAGGACCGATCCAGAAGCCCCAAATAACGAACCCACCCGTCAACAATGCAAAACAGCCTAGCACAAGTTGTGCCAACTGCTTGTAGTTCGGCGCGCAGAGAGAGCGCCGAGTCATCGGACAGCGGGGGCCATCATGAAATAACCTTACACTTCTTGGGTTTAAGATTCTTCGCTGTCCACGGGAAGACTCGAGCCTGACGGCGGAAAGCGCGACGACGCCAGGCCACCGCTCCGATATCATCAGGGCGTGCCCCCACAGCCACTAACGACGGGGACGGTGGCGCCAGGGGGCCCTCGAGGTCCAGTGGGACAAGGGTTAACAGCGACGACGAATATACTTCCACTGCGCGGGCATCCTTGGAGCAATCCACTATCCATGAAGTGCACGAAGGACAGGGTTCGGCCACCGCGCAGACTGGGGCTGCGCCGATATAGCATAGCAACATCACGAAGAAACACATCTGTGATTCGAAATCGACGGATACAACCGAAGAACCATGAATGCCGTGCGGACGGAGACGTTTGAGTGAAGTCGAAGGCGAAACTCGCTGGGGGTCTCCTGAGGCTCTGAATCAAACCGCGCGCTCGCGGACTTCGCGAACATGTCGAGAGCCGCGATGTTGTCCAGAAAGTTTCCACCACGAATAAACCCATCCTTCGCAACGACCCGTTGCACTACATTTTAGCAGCAACCGTTGAGCACCGAACAAATGGCCGTGTTCGCAGACAAATGGCCGTGTTCGCACTGCTCTTCAGGCCCGGGGGTCTAGTATCCTCAGGGGCGGTCAAGACTCCATCTTCATCAGGCTCGGGGGCGCCATCTTCGACGGGCTTCGATGAAGACTGCCAGCGCCGAAGAGGAAGACGACGGCATGGCCCTCCCAAGACAGATATGCCGAAGAACATGCAAGAGGACCCAGACTCCTGTCCCAAACTTCCACGAAGCATGGCGCAACCCATCACGGCCAGGTGCAGCCCGGGAAGCACGGCCCAATAACCTTCGAAGGTGAGCGGTCAACGCGTGCTCGGCGTCCTGGGAATCACCCCGAGGAGCAACGCGCGATGCATATTGATGAGCGCCGGGAGGTAGAGGGGTGGCCGAGCCAAACACAGAAGTTCAACATTCAACTACACATTCCACCAACTTAGCTTCCGAATCGACCAACGGGGCCAAGACCTATGAGCCCGCGATCCCTATGAGCCCGCGATTCCTATGAGCCCGCGAACGGGTCCCACATCTGGCCGCGTCTAGCATCCGCGCGTTGTTGCCCATGGGGGGCTAGACTTCTGCTCCTGGGTGGGGGCCTCTCCAAGGGCCCTCTCGATGTCTTGGCGACGCATTGCTGCCTCTTGTTTTTGAAGGTGCGCGCGCAGATCATGAAACCCTGAGTCGATGAAGCCGACGGTGGACTGTGCCCTACTTTCAT